AGATGTGCCTTCATACTCAGGGAGACTGTGTCTCAGTGATGGAGACAGGCAGTACGACTGTAGCCAGGCCACGATGTAATTGGTTAACCGAACCCCAATGTCGTGACAGCGTGAAGCTGCTTGAGGGGTTGTAGCAGGGAATCTATTTGTCTCCCGAGATCAGTGGGCATTCGGTCAACAACAAATTCAGAAGCTGATGACTTCACTGCCCTTGGATCATCAGTTCGTACCAACTTGCTGCTTCCACAGGCCTGCAATCAACCAATCACAACACAGAGCTGGGCTAACTATCCTCCAATCAGCACACCTTTCCCACCCCCCCAGCTTACCTGCCCTGCACAAACGTACTAACACAGATAGAGGACTGGTCGGCTGTTAGAAAACAGAGTATTTACAACCAAGTGGGGTCCTGCAGGGGTCTCTGCTGAGTTCCAACCATTCACAATTCACAGCGAAATACACAAACAGCACCGAGTTAGGTTGGATTGTATTGCTGTGGAGATGACAATGGAATTTGGGCAGGTAGGGTGAGTGACTGTGTAAAACTCTGGCAGGGGTGTATAATGTGGGAAGAGGTGTGAAGTTGGCAGGAAGACCAAAAAAGCAGAATATTACTTAAACAGAGGACGACTGCAGGATTCCAACAGGCAGGCAGATTTCAGTGTTCTGGAGCAAGGCTAGAGTGTAGGTACAGCTCATCATCAAGGCATCTTATGGCGGGGTGCTATCCTTCCTTTATAAGGAGACGAGTTGAATATGAAAGGGAGGAGGTTATGATTCAGTCATACAGGACTTTAGGGAAACTACACCTCAAATAGTGGGTAAGGTTTAATTTCTTCATTAAAAGAGGGATAGAAATGTATTGGAAGTGATTCAGAAGGGGTTTTACCAGATCCATACCTCAAAAAGGGAGCATGGATTGCCTTAATGGGGAAGGTCGGACAGATTGGGCTGGTCTCCATGGGAGTTGAGGAGAGGGAGGGGTAACGTGAGGGAGGTGTGTACGATCCTGAAGAGTCTTGACAAGGTGGATGTGGGAAGGATGTTCCCTCTTGTGGGTCAGGGTTTTACAATGACAGGTCACCTTTTCAGGACAGAGATCCTTCTCTGAGGGTTGTGCCACAGAAAGTGACGGAGACTGGGTTCACAATATTTTTAAAAGAGCAAGTTAGATACTTGTTCGATGTTGCGGGGGGGATGGAGAGTAGACAGGAAGGTGGAATTCTGAATGCAAACAAATCAGATCACACTGAACAGCAGTGGCTTGAAGGGTCAAACAGCCTACAGCAACTTGTAATTGGTCTGAAGGGACACTCAGGACAAAGCTAGGGACCATTCCTCAGTATAAGGGCTCACCTCATATTCCTTGTCCTCGCTCCAGTTCACCTCTTCAAAGTCACTCATTCTGCTACTTGGAGGCCGCAGACTGTCGAAGAACAGGGAGAACTCATCCTGGAGATGGTGGTGGCCCTTCAGCAGCTGCCAAACCTGTACCTTCAGCTTCACCGGCACCAGGAGGGGGTGGAGCAGCCAACAGGCACCACAAAGGGTGATGGGCAGGACACACAGACAGAAAGCGGGCACAGTGACAGACAACAGGACAACACATTTTTGAACCAACCATTTTAAGAAGGAAATTGGATTAGTGCCTTTTTAATTAATGAGATTAGTTTAACAAGCAACAAATAGCCCGCACGACAGGGACCGCACGGGGTTAGATACAGAGTAAAACTCCCTCTACACTGTCCTCCATCAAACACTCCCAGGGACAGGGGCAGCACAGTGTTAGACACAGAGTAAAGCTTCCTCTACACTGTCCCCCCCATCAAACACTCCCAGGGACAGGGACAGCACGGGGTTAGATACAGAGTAAAGTTCTCTCCACACTGTCCCCCATCAAACACTCCCAGGACAGGGACACCACAGGGTTAGATACAGAGTAAAGCTCCCTCTACACTGATGTAACGTGCTTTTGCAGAATGAAAGAACATACAAATCAATGTGAATAACCAAAGAGCCCAATTGTAACAGGGAGCCACTTCCTTAGCTGCTCTCCTGAAGCCTCCCTCTCAGCAGTGGAACTGGGAAGCAGGCATTTCTCCTGCTGTGTGCACACAGTGAGTGCTGAATGGGGAGAACCTGCTCCCTGCCACCCTACCCCCAGAGAAATCAGATACCCATAACCCGCGGGAAGTGGGGGTTGCCCTATCTCACCTCTGCCACATCCGGGGCTGAGCACACCATACAGCTCTGCAGAGCCTTGATGATCTTCTGGTAATGGGTCGGGTTTTCAGCAAAACAGATCTCCAGCTGACGAAGGAACTTGCGGCTCTTGTCGAACGCCTGCTGTTCTTCGAACTGACAGGGAGAGAGAGCGAGAGGTTAGGGCCCCCCCCGAGCCACTGGGACGTGGTCAGAGACAGTGTCCGCACTCACAGCTGGCAAGAAGCTGCCTCTGCACAGAGGGCCCAGGCACGTTGGCATCCCTCAGCCCTGGTGGCAGTACCGCTGTCGCTCTGTCCATAGACCGGACACAGCATGGCAGCAGCTGGGACAGTGGTGCCAAGGTCAAAGATCAGGCCTGATCTTAAAGAGACAGCCTCTCCCACGGACTGCAAGGTCAAACCTGAAAGAATGAAAAGCTGATGGAGATCCCTTTTGGAGAGGAGACAGGGAAATACACTGACCTGTCAGCTACCTCCCCGCTAATCCCTACGACAGAAGCACAGAGAGGCCATTCAAACAGATGGTGACCGAGCTCAGCTGCTACTCTTCCTGGGTTCTGCTGGCATCCCATTCAGCAGAACAAAACAACCCAGCAGTAACGTTTCCGATTACCCCTGACCTTGAGA